CATAATCACAAATAGCTATGACTATGTTATCATTTAAAGTGTTTGAAGTGTTTGTTAAAGTGTTGATATGCACAACACTAGTGAGAACATTCTGTACACTCTGACTCATAAATACGTGCAATGTTTCTGACAACGGGGGCCCTGGTCTCTCCTCTCACACACCTCCAGGGTATTAGCCAGCAGTGAGTATTGTGGGAGTGCAGAAAAAATATTTGGGAGTGCAATTTTTTTGGCATGTGTGTCTCAGCACACATATTTTTAGGCCGTGCTACACATTTTTGGACGTACAGTTTCAAAACTGACCGTGCGAATCACGTCTGCACGCGTCTACAGTGCTGTGTGTTCTCGCTGCTTCGTCAGGTTCGTCAGTACAACATCACGGCAGCGCGCGCAGCATGCTTCACGCGATTGTCGGAGCGTGACGCGACATACACGCGATGTTCTCCTCGCACAAGCACAAGAAGCCCGGCTCGTGAGTGACGCGTCGTGCAGTGAGTGACACACGGTGAGTGACGCACGGTGAGTGACACACGGTGAGTGACACACGGTGAGTGACACACGGTGAGTGACACACGGTGAGTGACGCACGGTGAGTGACACACGGTGAGTGAACGTCAAAGTGCCTACGAAGAGAACTTGTCGAAGAAAGATGAGGTAAAGTTTTATAATTATATTCCCAGTTTTTTTTTTAGACAGGGTCTTCTCCCAGGGATACATACGCCTCTGCTGTTCCCTTTGGATGGTTTCTCTGCCTCCGTATAATCACCTCTGCCAAGGTCGTCTCCATACCGTAACCTTGGTATGGGTGGTTAAACAGGTGCTGTTCTTTCTCCCAATGAAAGCCATTAGCTAAGGGAAGCTGATAAAGTTAGCTATGGATCTCCTCACGAGAGTGTCTCCGCTAATTTCAATAATTATGTACCAGGGAGATTTATGTTCATATGATTCTTTCAGGTATGATTAATATATTGATTAATGTGGTTGATGGTAATATGAACTGCCTCTGGGAAATGTCATTTCCTGTGTATCCCAGCTTCAGTGGCAAGCTTCCCTTTATTAATGTGTGAGGTCTGACCTACTGCGCATAGTGAAAACGGATTCGATTATTTGACGGGATTGAGTTATTTAGTGCAGAAACACTCGTCAGTTGTACAATTGCTGAAGAGTTCACACTCTCGCTTTCCTCCACATCATCGTGATGCAATAGATGTTGTGTAATTTCTGTAGGCAGGAGGATCATTTCTATCCTTTCAACGCGCATTTATTTGCTCTTAGTAGGAAATGTGCGCGACATTATCCCACTAATCCTGCCACTGATGGTTGCCTGGAGACGAGAGAAGCTATGCAGCTGATTCCGCTTCATTTCGATCTAGTTTAGTGAGGTTATACCCAGCGGTTAGCAGTCTGCAGCAGAGTTTCAGCTAGGCCTTCAATTTCTACGCTTTCTAATGCCAATTACCTAATACCACCTTGGCTTTTCATCTTGGGATTTCTTCTACACTAGCTTATCTATTGAGTTCTGCTGTAAGAGGTTACTATTACTAACTAGCTGAGCCTAAATTCGCTGAGCATGCTGCAAACGAAGTCTTCTCCCTCTATACGAAGATCCTCGTCATACTTCCGTCGCGATATTTTCGCCTTGAGGTTATTGTCAAATTGTCGTGGTGTGAACAAGTACGTCTTTCTTTTGTGACGGCAGCGGTGTGTTTGCATGTGTGTGCGTGCGTGCGTGCGTGTCTGTGCGTGTGCATGTGTGTGTATGTACTGTACACGCATGTGTGTAGTGTCGCTGTCTTTTCGTCTGTCTCTACATTATATGTAGAGCAGGATAATTTGATGTCTGGAAAAGGAACATACCGGCCACAGAAGATGTCTAGCTGTACCCACTTAAACACCAATGTGTGGAAAAAATACTGCCACTACGCGAGAAATGTTTATTACATGTGTTCTCTGCTCCATGGAATGTGATTGTGAAATGCAATTATAATTTCTTAGACGTTCAAAACCAGTATTTTGAAACCAGCGAGTGACCTTGTGTTTTGTGAACTTGGTGCTCACTGTTCTATGCTGCAGTAATTTATCTTGGTCATCTACCTCATGCCATTGCTGGAAGGGTATACGTGCCTGGCTGCGTAATAGGGCGTCAATACATTGTTATGAGCTCACATATAAACCCATAAATACGTGATACAATGACGTTTTGGGGTAGTTAATTTTTCTCCTAGTGAAAAGTCAGCTTTTAGGTAGAAATAGTATATAATTAAGTGGCGTGTGTCGATCAAGGCGTGCCTAACACCAACATATCAGTGTGGGACACTAATCTGTTTGTTTTGCGGGCAAAATCATCTATTTTATACCTAGCTGATAGAAGACACAAATAGAAAAGCTGCTATCAGATGATATGGTGGTGTCTAGATGCAGTTTTAGCAAAGGTGAGCGTCGGCAGTGAGTAGGTTAACTGTGTAACTGATTGCTGAATGATTGTACCAGAGTGACAAGATGGGTGTCCGCGGCTGTCTGTAACCCAACAATAGGGGACCGCACGCCCTGACCTACCTTTCAGGTGCACGCCTGCACCGACGTGGCTGCGAAACCAAACGTCTATACAAACATCATCGAAACGTGATGCGTGGCGTTTCTCGCAGCTAGTGAGCGCCTAGTACACGGAAGCATGTCTCTGGTTTTCTCGCAGCTAGTGAGTGCCTAGTACACAGAAGCATATGTCTCTGGTTTTCCACAGACCGACGTTGTGATTCAGCCCTCTAGCCCCGTCAAGTACGAACCTGTAGACTCACCACTCCGGAATTGGTTCTTTCCCAACAAGAAGGCTGCGGCTAAGTTAGGTGGCGAGGTGTGTGTGTGTGTGTGTGTGTGTGCGTGTGTGGGAGAAAGATTTTCTCTGGATACTAAACTGGACGCAACTAATGTTGAAGTGCGACCACATGCTACGAGTGCAACGATATTCGCAGTAACGAGTGAAACGTGCAAATGTCACGAGAAATTGTTGCAAGGCAGCAAATTGCTTGCAACAGCGTAATGTATCGCATGGCTAATGTTATGCATGTGGTCTGATTTTGGCATTTGTGCTAAACAGTGAGAATTATGCGCATGTGCGTGTGCGCGCGTGCATGTGTGTGCATTTGGTGTATGTAAGTGCATGTCAGGCAGCAGGTTGGTGTGTACGTGGCCCGTGTACGTATGTCTTTGATGTAGCTCTAGCTGTTGCTGTTGCCGTTGCTACCTCCGCTTCTGCTATTCACGTTGTTGACATCAACGTTGCTGTTTGTCGTAGGTTGTGAGTTTGCTGTGTAGATCCCTTTTCTAGCTTTTCCCTCTTCTGGTTTCACTAATAGGTGTAACGACTACTGCGATCGTTACCTACTCAAATAGAGGGTTAAAAGATGCTGTTGATGGTTAAAAGTCCCAGTGGGACAGCTATTTGCGAATGAAGTTTGAAAATAATTGTTTGCCAAACGACATAATGAGTGATTAGTTTAACGTTTTTACCAGCAGTTGTTGGGTTGTCATGTAGTACTGTAGTAAGTGTCGTGATGAGTGTGTGCATACTGCTAATGTTAGTCATAGATATATATATAATAGTATAGTATAGTATAGCATTATAGTCTATAGCTGTAAAACTGTTTATTTGTTGAAGCTTACCATAGCTGACGTTCACAGCTCGTTGACACACTGCATTATCATCGTCATGGCACATTGTTACCCTTTTCATAATTGAAGTCCATTTTTATGCTGCAGTTTAGTAATCGTAACACGCTATCTTACTTCATTCTAGGAATCATGGCTCATTGTAATTGCTGCATTGTCAGAGTCATATTTCATTGTTGAAGCTCCTAGCTCATCTCAGCTAATTATCATAGCTCATTTCTACAACTTTATCATAGTTAATCACAGTAGCTCATTGTTACACAACGTCCGGGTGCGAAATTAACTCGAATCCGGAGTCAAATACTCCCTGATTTACTGTCGGACTTCCTGATTTGACATATGCAGGAGTACGTGTGACTCCCTGAAATTTCTGCTATACTAACTAGTTCGTTCCAGAGCATGGCCTCCTTATTATTCCCACGCAAAATTACCGTATTTTCTCAGCAAATGTCCTAAGAAAATTTTGCACACGTGCAACAGCATGAATCTTCAAAATAAGCACATGCGTTTTTTAGTTTTGAACTTCAGACTGCGGACTCCCTCATTTTGCTGCAGACTCCTTCTTTTTGAGGGCAGGGAGTCTGTTGGACTCCCTTGTTCAAAGGTTAATTTCTACCCCTGCAACAATATCATATCTTATCACCGTAGCTCATTGCTACACAACATCATATCTTATCATCGTAGCTCATTGCTACACAACATTATCATATCTTATCATCGTAGCTCATTGCTACACAACATTATCATATCTTATCATCGTAGTTCATTGCTACACAACATTATCATATCTTATCACCGTAGCTCATTGCTACACAACATTATCATATCTTATCATCGTAGCTCATTGCTACACAACGTTAGCATATCTTATCACCGTAGCTCATTGTTAGACAACATTATCATATCTTATCACCGTAGCTCATTGTTACACAACATTATCATATCTTATCACCGTAGCTCATTGTTACACAACATTATCATATCTTATCACCGTAGCTCATTGTTACACAACATTATCATATCTTATCACCGTAGCTCATTGTTACACAACGTTATCATATCTTATCACCGTAGCTCATTGCTACACAACGTTATCAGAGTTAATCACCGTAGCTCATTGCTACACAACGTTAGTTAATCACCGTAGCTCATTGTTACACAACGTTATCAGAGTTAATCACCGTAGCTCATTGCTACACAACGTTATCAGAGTTAATCACCGTAGCTCATTGTTACACAACGTTATCAGAGTTAATCACCGTAGCTCATTGCTACACAACTTTATCAGAGTTAATCACCGTAGCTCATTGCTACACAACTTTATCAGAGTTAATCACCGTAGCTCATTGCTACACAACGTTATCAGAGTTAATCACCGTAGCTCATTGTTACACAGCGTTATGCAGAGTTAATCACCGAGCCTCATTGTTACCAACGTATCAGAGTTAATCACCGTTACTCACATGCTACACAACGTTATCAGAGTTAATCACGCGTAAGCTGCATTGTTACACAACGTTATCAAGAGTTAATCACCGTAGGCTTCATTGCTACATCAACTTTATGCAGAGTTAATGCACCGTAGCTCATTGCTAACACTTTATCAGAGATTAATCACCGTAGCTCATTGCTAACACAAACTTGTATCAGAGTTAATCATCGTAGCTATTGCGTACACAACAGTTAGTTAAATCCCATAGCTCATTGTTACAACGAACTTTTATCAGAGTTTAATCACCGTAGGCTTATTGGCTACACAACGTTAGTAATCACCGTAGGCGTTCATTGCTCACAACGTTAGTTAATCCCGTAGCTCATTGCTACACAAGCGTTAGTTAATCACCATAGCTCATTGTTACACAACGTTATAGAGTTAAATCACCGTAGGCTTATGCACACAACGTTAGTTAATGCATCTAGCTGCATTGTTACAACGCATGTGTAGGCTAATCATCATGGATTGTCTCCCAATCATTGCTTCTAGCTGTCATCACATGTCATTGCCACAGTTTGTTTCGCATGTGTACTTAATCAGGCGTGTCTATCATAGATTGCTTATTATTCGTATATTATATACACTCCTGGTACTATGCATGGTAGCAATTTCCTCAGCCTGTCAGTCCTTTCATTCTCTCACATTACTGTCTGAAGACTATAAAGATTGCTTTTATATACGAAGATGGTTAAGGTAATCATATATCTCGCTTTCAATTGCATTGAAATTCAGTTTAGTTTGCATGAGATTTGCACCGTTGCTTCTCTGATGAGAACTCACCGATTATGTCAGCAAACTGTGGATCTCAAGCATTATATCAGATGCTGTTATTTATCCACACAAAGCATTATTAGGCTTAACATTTAATTAGCAAAGTGACCATGATTACTTGGTAATTCAAAAAGTTATTGGCCAACAGCAACAGTGAGAAATCATGTGCGACCACTGATGTTAGTTTCGTGACGATTTTGCAGGTGTACAAGGTCGCAGTGACAAGTGACGGTTGTGCCTATTTTATATTTCGGAGATATGCAGAGTTCAGCAAACTAAATGAAATGGTCAAGGCCAATAGACACGATTTCCCACCTACTCCAACCAGGGGCGCGTTTCACTAACGTTCGTTTGCTATTTTTCCTTTGCTATTTGCAAGGTTTGATCGGTAAATAGCGAAGAACACGTTCGCGCGTGTTTCACAAAGCTCCGTTGCTAAAGTATTCGTTATTAGCGAACAACTTTACCGAACCTCTGCAGGGTCTCGGTAAATTTAGCAAAGGGACTTGCGGTGTAATTTAAACCTTATATAAAACATAATGTACGGCAGTGTGAGCATTGACAGATGTGACACACGCGCGTTAGCACGTAGCAAGCTCCGAGAAAATATGCACACATGGCACAACCGTTTGATGCCTACAATGATACAGAAATTATATGTGATTGGCATATGACAGAGCGTAACTTAGCAACAACTGCGCCACGTGTTTGTAGTTTTCGCCAGCTGACGCCTCAGACGGCAAGTTGTTCGCTAAATAGCGAGAGCATAGCGAAGCGTAGTGAAACGCGTTGTTCGGTAAAGTTGATCGGGTAAAGTATTTCGGTAAGTGTTCGGTATGCCTTCGTTTGCTATTTAGCGAACGAACAACTTTCGTCGGTTAACGAAATAACTTTTAGCGAACGTTAGTGAAACGCGGCCAGGTTCTTTTTGCCCCCACGTAGATCCTTCTCACCTAAGTTAAGTCTACCACTCTTGCACCTCTACAGTAAAGCTTATTCTGCCGTAGCATGCATATTTCTTACGGTTTGTGCGTGTCTTTTTTCTTTCTTTTTTCACAGTTGATTACCCATCGAATTTTGTCTATCATCGCAATGCATGTACAGCGACTCAAGCGGTACACAGCGTGTGTTAGCAGCTTGCATGTCTGTTCGTCTGCTAGATTAAATCGCCCCATAAATGTTGTCGCCGTGAGGCCCGATGCATCTCCAACCTTTCGTTTTCTGCAGCTGAAAAAGCAATTCCCAGAACGCAGGTCTCAAACTGCCAGGCAAGAAATTCTTTGGAACAACTTCGATCCGTCGTTCATCAGGCATCGCCGGGAGGGCCTCAACGACTTCATACAGAAGCTGGTTAGCTCCCGGTACTGTTCAACAAGTGAGTAGCGAAGAGCGCTATCTCAGCGACATGTTTGTTCTTCGCCTGTTCTGTTTTGCAAGGTCATTGATCGGTTGTCTATGCGACCTTGATTAGTTCTACTGCTGAATGACCACCTAGCGATCTCCTAGGGAATGAAATGTGAAAGTGATGTTTTTCCCTAACCCTCGATGTTTCAGTGCCAGAGATGCCAACCACTACGATTTATCCGTATTTAATACGAATTTCTATTCCTTTTGCACCACTACGACCAGTTTGTATCAAACTACGAATTACGTGATCGAACATTTTTTTTTGTTAATTGTCATTTTTGTCAATTTATTGTCATTTTTGACCCCCAGAATGCAGGAAATTGCATTTCAGAATAAAAAAATTTTCCGGGGGCATGCCGGCCCCCCTAGCAAACTCGGGTCACCTCGAACTACTAATTTGATGGCCAGAAACTACAGATCGCTTCATATATGTGTTGGCATTTCTGCAGTGCGGATGTGAAGGCGTTCCTGCAGCTCGACAATCCACGCAACACCGAGCTCATCCCGGTGAGGACGACGCGCCGGCAGACGAGACGTCAACCCGTAGTGGCGCTCGCGTCACGGGCTGCACTGCTGCTGCTGCTGCTGCTGCTGCTGCTGCTGTTGTTGTTGCTGCTGCTGCTGCTGCTGTTGCTGCTGCTGATGCTGCTGATGCTGCTGCTATTGTTGTTGCTTGCTGCTGCTGCTGCTGTGCGGCTACTGCTGCGGCTACTGCTGCTGCGTTCGACAGCATTAGTTTATGCGCATACAGCAAGGCGGAATCTTTCAGGCTTCATGTTGGATCACGATGTCCAGAGACAAGGCTGCTTAGTGGGGACGTAGTAGTATAGGCC